TTTTGTATTCTGCAAATTTACTGAATTTATTGATAAGATCTATTGGGTTAGCCTATATAGTCAGGCTATGAAGTAGCTAGCTTGAGTTTAGTGGCTGCATCATACAAAAAAAAAAAAAAAGAAAGAAAGAAAAGAAAAGAAAAAGAAATGCTCAGAGGGTAAGCTCCTAAAACCTGCGAATGGCCTAACTTGGAATCTGGGGAACAGGGTCACACAAAGGGCAGAATCAGTTAGCCTAACTAGTCAGGTTAAGAGAAAAGAGCAAGCAAGATGGAGAAAGATTCACACATTACATATATATAAAAATGTATGTTTATATATATTATATAAATATGTTATATACTTATATATATACATGTCATATATATATATACATATATATATATATGTCATCTGCAAATAGAGACAATTTTATTCCTTTTTTTCCCCCAATTCTGAAACTTTTTCTTTCTTTTTCTTGCCTGACTGCTCTAGCTAGGACTTTCAATACTATACTGAATAGAAGTGGCAAGAGTGGGCACCCTGGTCTTCTTCCTGATCTTAGAAGAAAATCTTTCACCACTGAGTATAATGTTAGCTGAGGGCTTTTCATATATGGGGTTTATCATGTTGAGATATGTTCCTTCTATGCCAAACTTGTTAGTAGTTTTTATCATGAATAGATGTTAAATGTTAACAACTTTTTCTGTATCTATTGAGATAATCATATGATATATTTCTTTCATGATATTAATGTGATGTACCACTTTAACTGATTTGCATATGTTGAATCATCCTTCCATCCCAGGGATAAGTCACACTGGATCTTGGTTAATGACCCATTTAATATGCTGCTGAATTTGGTTTACTAGTATTTTTGTTGAAAGTGTGTGTGTGTGTTCATTAGAAATGTTGACCTGCAGTCTTCTTCTCTCGTAGTGCTCTCCTCTGGTTTTGGTATAAGAATAATGCTAATAAATTAATGAGTTGGGAGTGTTCCCTCCTCTTAGATACTCCCACCCCTTTTTCTACACCACCACCACTATTTAAAAATCCCACCATTTGACTGTCACAGGACAAGAATATGTGAACTACAAGCCAGAGATAAGCTAAGGGCCAC